GTCAAAAATATTATCTTTGGTCAGGTACAAAAAAGTGCTCATTTTCGAGCATTTTCTTAAGTTGAGAGTGACCAGTACTGCGGTTTCATCTTACGTCTCAGTTTCGTTTAGACAATTTCTTTTAAAAGAGCGTGCGTAGCTGAAATGAAGGAGAATTTGAGATTTCAAAGTTTAATAGCTTAGGTATCAAATCCAAAATTCAAGCTAATGTTTTGAATCGTTTTACTTAGACTATTTTATTGACTACAGTGTGAAGTCACAATCACTTTTTAGGGCTGTGTCGTATACTTCGGGGCTCGAGACTCGCTGAGCACAGCACAGTTTCTTACGTTCGAACAAGTTTGTGTTCTTATAGGCCATTCCCATTCTATATTCTCGTTTTTTTTAGCTCTTCTATTCAATTGCCTATTCTATGACTATTCTATTCAATTTTCCACGAGACTCTAGCATATGGAAGAATAGCATGTACGCCTTTAGTATGTTCTTAGAGAAAGGATGTTGAAACTACTTTAAGTTTAGTTGACCTTCCATCATTTCTAGAAGAGCTTCATGAAATTACTAAAGTTCCATTTAAGCAGTTTTTTAGAAATCTAAATCAGCGCATTGGGACTATAAGGCAATTTATATAAACAAAACATTGTCGACCCTTTTTATCAAAGAAACAACAGGTTCTTCAAAAGATTCTCTACATGTAGCAATTTCGATGCTGATCAAAACGAAATACTGTTAAAATGCTGATTAAATTTGGATGGAGGACACTGAAATTACTAGTTTGACTGCTTCGTGACCTCAAGATTTTTTTCTCTTCGCGACAGTTTACAACTCCAAATGATTAATGAATAATAAATATTTTCATTTAGGCTGCTGTTTGTACAAATAAACTTTATTTTGGTAGCGGATATTGCGTTGAAAATTCTAAGCTTTTTACTGGATCGAAATTCCATCATGGGGGTCTTTTTCTTCGCATCATATTTATTGTGATGCACTTTTGAAATGACTGGATCATAAGAATAGATTACTGTAGATGTTTCGAGTACGGTTCTTGACAGTTATAAAATTCTTATTAAAGAAACAATCAAATGTGGATCTTGCAATGTGAATTCCTAAGCAAAAAATGTAAATTTTGGTTAGGATAAGCTCAATTTACAAAAAACACAAATATCAGCAAGTTGACACAGATTCACTTTTGCCAAAGGCAAGTTTCTAAGTTTCCAAGTTACAAGTTTCCATTCGTTTGCCTAATACAGCTTCGACCCTTGGTTCAGCCACATTTGTCCTATCATGTAGATTGGGTAGAGCACTAGGAGAGTTTTGATGGAGCTTGCCTCTTACCAAATTATGCTTGTTGCTAAGCTAAACAGTTTGATTGTTTACCTGTCTAGCAAGCACTTACGTGGTGTATGGATTATATAATGGACTCACCCTTAACTAATTAGAAGATAATGTAGAAATGCTTCTGTGATCCCTACTTGGGGGCAGTGCCAGTGCGGGCACCTGTAGTCCTGGGTCTACAGGATGAGGAAGTAGGTTGGCCAGCTCCTTTTCTTGTTATTCCTAGTGTTGCTCCTGGATGCCTATTTGTTGCGAGCATCGGGATGTGCTGGAAATAGTCACAGGAACTGAATGAATGTTCCTTAAAAGTTGGATGTGTTTATAACAGGGCCTTTTCTAGCGTACCAGTTAGGGGGGAAGGACCCCTTCCAGCCTCAGAGACATTCCTGATTCAAACAACATACTGCCCCCCTCCTTTGTAAATCAGAGGCTTTGCCCCTCCATATGCAGTCCTATAAAAATGGCGATGACAGAGTAAAACTCTTCCATCTGCACTTGATGTGGAACATATGAAGATCTTAAAGTAAATGCTACTTAGAAATTAGAATTCTTTGTAGGTCTTCTTAAGATGTTGATCCAAATATGCTTAAATTTGAATAGGCGAGAAGCTCTGTTATGGATTGCTATTTGTCTTGACTAGCTGCCAAATTCTGGGCACATTTGTAACTTGAGATCGCTATGTTTTCTTTTCCAGAAAGTGAGTAGTGGTGTAAAAATTTTAGTGACCAGAAATTTTTTTTACAGAAGTTTGTAGAATTAAAACTAGTCGAAAGAGAGCCAATTTCCCTTTACTTTAATTTTTAAAAACCTCCACAAGACATTGAGAAAGTTAGGCGTCATACCAGGAATTCTTCTCTCCAAGTTTTTCAGTAGTGAAATTTATGAAGACACCCAAAATACTTTGTTTTTCTATATGGGATCTTTTTCTATGGGATTTTAATAGCTTTACATATACTTAACTGATTTTAAAAAAAATGCAACCATAGCTGAAGGCAAATTTAGAATTCTTATCAAAATCGTCTGCGAGGTGAAGGATTAGGTAAAATGTCGGCTGGTTTAAGCAGAGGAGTTACAGAATCGTTTGCATTCATGGAATTTTTCGTCGACCTCATCTGTTGGCCAAGTCACTAGCAATTCGTAGTGTGATATATAAAGCGTCGTAGCTACTTATGTGCTGGTGGATAATGTTTATAGATTAAAAGATCGCTCAAATAAAGCATGCATAAATTACGGTATTAAATCATTGTCATTAATGAGGTCCGAATGGGAGTTAGCTGCTTCGAATTCCGTTAGCGAAGTGCCTGTCATCTGCTGCTAAGGCAACTCATTAAGAGATATTCAACGAATAGGGACGTTCACTTGACTTGGGGGTGGGGGGGGGGTGACAGTAATGGCACAAGACCCACTAAAATAGAGATCAGGAAGAAGGGAAAGTGCTAGTATCGACTTTTTTTAGAATCTTGCCGAGAGGAATTTAATTTGGCTGGTGATTATCACGAACGTAGCCATGTTTTATTTGTCTTCAGTTGGAATTCCAACTGCTAGCTTTTGCACTAACACGATCAGCGGTTGCATAATTCCCATTTTATTTGTTGCAAAGTTTTCCAGGTACCGTAATAATTTGATTAAGCCACCATTCAAATAATTCCCTATTTTAGCACTAAAGTTTTGAACTTACTTTCGCGAAGAAGCGAAATAGGATCTTTCGCGAGGATAAACTTTTGCGTTCTAGTTAAAATCATGAATTTCGCGCGTAAAACATTTCTATCCAACCGAGGTTACCTTTTCAAAGATTTGTTAAAAAGTTGTTGGTCGTCAAATTTTCCAAGAGGGCCAATATCAAAGTAATCGGGATATTTCACCTGAATAAACTTTAGCGAATTTCGTATTTCAGGAAGTTTCGCGGATCAAACTTTCACGTAAAAAACGTGAAAAGTGCGAAAGTGTCTTCCCGCAAAAGTTTCTCGTGGTCTCTCCTCAAGCTGCCTGTCAATAAATCACAACAAAGAAAGGTTGCTGGAAGGTTTGATTCCCATGATTTATAGCATTATACCACCCAGGATTACCTCAAAGGCAGGCATTGGACGGTACACTGCCAAGCTCGCTTATCGTGCTTCACAAGCTCGAATGTCATGTTTTACGAGTCTTGTGTATTTTGATGCTTACTAATCGTCAGAAGGTTCTGCTTGGACAAACCTGGCCTTAAAGTAATGCTCTTAGACTACTTTGGCGACAATGACGTTTAAGTGTCATTACGACCACCTCTTTGTCCCTGCCTGGATTTAGAAGTCTGGAGATCTTTTTAAAATAACATATCATTATAAAGAACAGGGTGGTTGTGAAACGCAAAGACATAAACATGTTGAACATTGCTATTAAATTGTATAATCATTTTTTATTTATGTCCTGTTTTGGCCAGACTTCAAATCTATCTGGTGACTAACCTAAGTCTACAAGCAGAGCAAAATGGTTCCGAAAACATTTCAGGCCCGGTCTTCACAAACGATCAATGTACCTTAAAAGTTGTCGTCGGAATCCTTATAAAGTACAAATTCGCTTCAACAAACAATAGACGGCCGAGGATGATCCGGAGCAAATTCCTCTGACTTAAATTTGGCTGCCTAGGTACTCAAAATGTGCGGCAATAGAGCCACAAATATCTGCATCGTTTCAAAATCTAATTTTCTAGGTCTGAGACTCTATAGACATTGCTAGTTCAAAAAGGTCCCGTTTCTTCTCTAGGGTTTTCACACCATGGTTAAATCCGTTCGTAAGTCTCTGTACATTTTGTCATTCGGCCGCTCAACTTGCGCATCATGTTGTGTTTGCTTGTGTTCTCTTGTGTACATATCGAAATGAGTCTGCACACGGCAATTAATTTACGTGGCTTAGAACCAATACACGAGAATTTGCTAACATAAACATTACAAAACATGGACCGTCTTTATCCAGTTCAATTGAGACATCACGAGAACAAATAGTTGGCCGCAAACAGACCTTAGCCACTCACCACGAACCTTCTCGGACAAATGCCTTCAATAATAGACAAGAATCTTCCATATGGACATTAAGTCAATTTACCTGGTACTTTACGAGCTTCTGCAGTAGCAGGCATTCCTTAACACACGTCACTTTTGATGTATTCTGGAAACTTGAGAAAACATGAGAATTTGTTAAACTCTTAAATTAGGAATAAAAGGTATTTTTTGTTGATGAAGTTAAAATATCGATTTGCAGTGTTATAAGAAAGTTGTTTAAATTAGTACTATTTTTTACCGAAATTCCTGAATTTGAAAACATTGTTTGAATAATTACTCAAAAATCCCAACGTTCATCTTTTGCTGAAATTCTGTGAGCAGCACGGTTCTGAAAGGCATGCTAGCAGCATCAAAGCGAATTGATTTCCATTAGGTTTTTGCTTTCTTTGGTTCATCCAACCCACAATAGCCACCAATGTGATGTGGGGTCAACCAGTCCTTTAGATCAGGGAGAGGAAGATAGAGAGGATGGGGGAGGGTAAATAGATGTTGGAAGAGAAGGATTAGGGAATTTAGGGTCTGTGAACAGGATTGATCAAGAGCAGAAATTAATATCCGTTTGACTATCACCTAAGGTTGGTACATTCTTGATACAAACCTGGAGATGATTGATAATAACTTCACAATAAATAGATCAATCATATTTTAATTTTCATGTATTAAACACTTGTTTCAACCATACAAAAACCACTAAGAAATAATTTTCAACATTATGTACTCTTAGTAGCAGTGAGTAGTGCTAACAGATGAAACTCTGTTCTCTATCGAAGTTTTTTTATTGTTGAGGAATTTCTCACAAGTTACCATAGGTTTCTAATTGTTCAGTCAAACTTGTACTGTACTATTAAACAAGAGAGCAGTGCTTCATAACATAGAATTTTCTGATGAAATGTGGGAAGAGAAGTTGCCATAATCTGTCTGTCCTATTCTGCATTACTTGTTCTGATATGCAAAAGTATTTAATATAAGCTTCTTTCAAGTGTACCATCCAAGCAGGGCTGATTTATGTTGAATTTTTTGTTCAAGATTCCAATGTTTTAGATTTGTATTTAATGACAGAATGCAATGGTACCATGGATTATTTAAACAGCCCCAGGTATATGAGATAATGGAAAACTATCAAGGGGGCAAAACACAGATTTGTTGATGGGCCTTTTAAATTCTCCTATTTGGAGGCTTAGGCCCCAAAGCACCCACCTAGCCTGTACTTATGGCTCTGTTTGTAGTCAAACTCAATTTCCAGTTGATTATGTGTGACTAAAAGTGAGGCTGACTGTTAGTTTTTTCTTAAAATCACTTTCTTAATCTTGCACCTGGAACATATTATAAATTTGTTCAAAGGGAAGCATAAGAGCAAAAGTAAGGGAGTATCATAAACCATCAATACATGCCCGAGTGTTTGTTAGAGGACACATATTGAGAGCTAGCTTCAATATTAGGTATGGTTACCTGTTTCTTTCATTGCTGTTAGCAACAAGCAAACATTTATGGGTGGAAATATAGTGAGAATCAAAACAATTGGTCAAAACTTTGCTAACGTCCAGCTAATTCAGCACTGCTATCAAACCCTTTAATCACCAATCTACCTTGCCTGCACACATAAAAGTAGCAGAGAGAGAGTTTTATAATAGGGTCTTTACTTGTTAATGTCTCTCTTAAGCTGGTATGTCACAATAATTTCACTGTAGGTAGAAAGAGCACATTCAAAGTAAATACACAGGCTATTAAAGAACAAAAAGAGTTCCGTAATGCAAAGATTGTTGTAATTGAGTGAACTGTTAGATAATTTTTCACTTCTGCCGTCACGAGAGAGGCAGCAGAATTAAGTTTTCAACATGCCTTAGTAATGATTATCTTCATATTAATTTTGCTCTCTTTTGCCTTTCTCTTTATTCCTTCTACCCCCATTAGAGTCATTGCCTTCCTTGTCATTTTCTTTTTCGGGCATTCCATGCACATGTAACTCATGAACATGATATACAACAGGCCTTACAAAATATTCCATGGCTTCCAATTCTTTCTTTGTCTCTTGAAAGCCTGCATCAAGCTTTCTCAAAGACCCAGTCAGGCGAAGTGTGACATTTTCTCTGTCATCAACACTCAAATCCAAAACATCTGCAATACCTCGGATTCTTCCTGCAACCATTGTCAAAAGGTTTATATAATAAATCTGTCTTTTTACACTTCTTTTGGATGTCAACAGGTACAGAGTATATGGCAAGGCTTCAGGGGGTGGGCCATCTTCCCTTTCTTGATCCTGCTGGTCAAAATGCTGCATGCCAATGTTGATTATTTGGTATGGCTTCAAAACTATGCTTATTTTTGGTGAATAAAGTGACATCTGAGCAGGAGTTTTGAAGTACTGGCGTTTCCAGCAGTCTGAATTCTGATATGCAATTTTCAAAAATCCTTCAGCTTCTTCTTTGAGACTGACCAATGTGCCAATTTCGGAATTGTTCAAATATATTGGAGAGCAATTGAAAACTTGTATGGTTGGTATGAAAAACACGAACAGCGATGCACATGCCACATATTTGAGGTATGGTTTCAGAGGCTTGTATACAAAGATACAAAGTAGGCCTGCTAAGAAAAAGCCAATAACAAGTGCTCCGATGTGATAGATCCGTCCCGAGAAAGAATATTTTGACACCAAATCATAAAGCACGGAGAAAACATAAATAACTGTAGGTGATATCATAAGAAATGCAATGAACCTTGAACAAAGAACATTCTCTTCCTTCTTCTTCTTTTTCCTTACTTTACTGGCAATGTCTTTTTGCTGGTCAGATTGGCCTAATTGTACTTGCGATCTTTTCTCCTCATGTTTCCGTCGCCTGATTAGCTTTGGAGACACATCTTCCTCTTTATCTGAATCTTTATTATCACTGCTGCTTGGAGGGCTTTCTTCTTGTACATCAGCCATTTCTGCGTGACAATACTTTCGATTTAAGAATCACACATTGGTAGTAATCACAATATCGCAAAAGAACATTCTTTAGAGGTAGCAACAACAACGCATGGACAATTTCCGGTTCGCTGATTTCTCCTCCGCAACGCTTTTTGCCCATTGATTTCCAAGAGACAAGATTCACTCAGATTTAGGTTTTGCCTTGGAGAGAGGGATAGGTATTCACTTAAAATTTCACCCAAAGAGGCTAATTCAATGATTTTGTACCCTCTGGAATAATTATTCTCTCAATCAACAGGTAAAAAGCAGAATAGAAGAGAAAAGAGCGCTCAGTTTTTTCAAATTCCTTTTTTTCACCAAACACAAGTATTGATTAAAAAACACAGACAGAAATAAAGTTTCTACATAGAATGTCCAAAAGTTATAACAATAAGTAAATCCAAAAAGTCAATTGTTTTTTAATTATGCTGAAAGAAACATTAAAAAATTCACGATAATCAATCGAGTCATGTGCCCTGTTCGACGTACGTAGTAAGATTATATATAGATTTTAGTTTGAATTGAACATAAAAAAACAGTCAAGTTAAATGATAAATACACTAAGGTATCAAAAGTATTGCACCACCTCGAAGGAGGAGAAATGGCGCATGAATGATCGAAAGCTATTGTTATGCAAATTAATTCTGTTTTTAGACGGCCAATGGCAATTGGTCGAAAGCAAAACAACTACCAATCAAAACTTCAATCTATATAGAGCATTTATTTAAAAAATAACAGTAGCAAACATCTTTTAACAGTTTCAAATATCAATATTTTGACTAGCTGCCGCAAACTTTTGAAACCGCAAAAAGCCTCCTTGAAATGGATCCATGAATTTGGGCAACGTATTCTTGTAGAATTTCGTATTAGGCCTGGAAAAGTCTTAGAATAAATGATTCTCTGGCTTTTGGACGACCATTTGGATCATGGTTTGTAACATTTTTCATTTGAAGTCAAATTTTTTTAGCGATGTTAAAGATTGGACTTGATTTTGGCTATGCCAAAACTTTAATTTCTTTTTGTATGGAAATAAATATTTGTAAAAATGGTTTCCGTTTACTTAGGTAACCTTTTCTTATGTATTTGTGCAAAACACTCATTACATTTTCTGTGGACGGATATTGAGCAGCAAAACTTTGCGAATTGTTGAGTTTCATGCCTTTTACTGCCCCTTGGTGCTCTACGCAGTGAAATAAAACCGACAAATTCTTTCCCCTTTAACATCAAATTTATTTTGGTCGCCAACTTCTCGGTTTCTTTACTACTGTAACACTCTCGAGAAATCTTGTTTGATTTACCACAGCTGTTGTGTAGCTGCATCTAACTTGGTCAACATTTTTTTAAAAATTAAAGACCACTTCCTCGTAAATGTTTTATAGCGACTCGCCTCTCATTTGACAATTTTATTTCCTCAGGCATGGGTTACATTTTTACAGATAAAAATGTTTTTGCGTAATTTATATATTTCTAACTAAGTTTTCTATGGCGTCAGCAAGATTTGCAAACTTTTCCCGCCAAAGTTTGCTCTAAAATGCGCCTATTTCAGCAAATTAATGCATTCAAATGTTTTGCCTTGTCAAAAAGTCGACAAAAAGTGCCGCCATTTTGAGCAGGGTGGTGCAATACTTTTGATACCCTAGTGTATAATACTGAAAAGGCCTCCAAAAACCAAGATAAATGTGGAAAAAAGAAAAAAAAGAAGTAAAGGGTTACGGGGTTTAAAAGAGTGTTTCAAGTTTTAGGTAGTTATATGTTTTGTAAAAGTTTTTCAACTAGTTCTAAACAAAACGAACTTACTTTAATAGTGAAACTAAGAATTGAAGAATTTTAAACTTTTTGGAGACCTGCGAAACTTAAAAACTATAGGTAACAATCGAAATCCCAATCCTAACTTCATGCTATTGTCAAGGATACGGGTTGAAGTGAATGCGCACGCGCATGATGTTGCCGCTGTGTGCATTCGCCGAAGCGTGCTCCCACACCACGCGAGACAAAATGGCTACCAAGACAAACCTAGGTGTCCAGGAGCAAGTATATCAATACCTTCTTGATTGTAAATTTACAAGAGCTGCAAAATGGTTTTCAAGAGAAAGTGGCACAGTGAGTATTTTTCACTTTTCTTTAAGAGATTGCCTCGATTCACACTATTTTTTGAAAGACAAAGTCGATTACAAAAAATTATTGGGGCCTAAAAAGAAACTGGCTTAAGAGAACAGATTCTGCTGCAATCACCTTTACCCCTCTTCATCCAATCAAACTATTTATCGTTGCTTTCTTCAAATCAAGAATTTAATTTAGCAGTTAGTTAGTTTTTTTTATTTTCATAACTTAGTCCCTACAACCTAGTCAAGTTTTTAGTACAGATACTTTTAGAACGCCGATTAAGATTTAACATAGGAGATTCACATAAGGGTGTTAGATATATTTGGTTTGCCAACAAATTGAGCTTTTGAACACAACAAAATCAAAAGTTTTGAAACAGGCTCTGATCTAAAAGCTTTGCTTAATTAAACTCTTTGGTAACCTTCAAAATTTAAAAACCAGAAACTTCATACCAGATAGATGTATGCAGTACCCTCAGATCTGACCCCTTTGTATAACATTTCCCCTCTCAAGTTAGCTTCTGCAAAAAATTATTTATGTGGCCCCATCCTTGCATGTTAACAAAAAATGAAAGTGAAACAATGGAGGCCTTTTTCCCATCAATTTTGACTGGTATGATGTTTCATCTCCTAGACTGATCTGGGATAAATTATAAGGCATTCAACTTATTAAAGTGGAACTGACATGAAAAATGAAAAAACTTCATAAAATCCATTTAAGGACGACCAGGCTCAGTCTAGGAGATGAAGCAGTTTTGGAGTTGATCTATATTAAAACGAAAAAGCCGCCATATTGTGTAGACAGAAGGAGTTCATTTTCTCTCTTCGACTCCATTGGTAATTTTTCTTTAGGCTCGCTGCACTGATTGGTCAACTATACCGGTCTTGTGCTTGCGTCTTTCTGATTGGCCTATTTCGATCCACAACTGGGTATATATTTTCCATCGTGTTCTTTCAGAAACTTTTTCTGACATTTTATGCTCTGAGGAGTGTCAGACGAAAAAGCTTTTAGTATGTTGTAAAATGTTTGCTTTTTTCAAAGCCATTTTTATAAACCATATAATAACCCACCAGAATGCGTCACTTTCCCTAGACTTTTTCGAAAAATCTTCTATGAATCAAGCCCCCCAAAAATGAACTTATGGCCCTTATTTTGAAAAAGTATTTGCAGATATAGAATCAGGGATGCTTAATGCCTAAAAAAATGCCTTTTGGAAAATTTTGATTTTTCATGTCAGTAGCACTTTAAGTTCAAAATAGAATGGTATGTTAAGACGCCAGAGAATTCAAAATAACCCTAAATCTATATAGGCATCTATGTGTAAATGTTCTCCAAAAAAGGAGAGCCAAACTTTGAGTTACAGCAGTACCACATATGTTGGGGCATTTATGCATATTAACTTCTTTTGGCAGTACAAAATTTGAAAATGGCTGTCAGACCTGTCAGACAAAAAGGCTTTAAGTATATTTGTTTTAAAATGTTCGCTTTTTTAAAAGCCATTTTCAAATTATGCATATTGAATATCTTATTTACCTAATGCAGTATATAAAGTTCAAATGTGAAAACTTCTTGTTTTTTAGAAACCTAAAGATGGCAATGAATCAATCATAAAAGAGGTACTAGAGCACTATTCCACTTGGTAAGTTTTGCTTTCAAAACTGTTTTCATCATTCGTCTGTACATGCTATATTGCCAACTTAAATAATCTCATGTTTGCGTTGCAACAGCTTTTGGTCTGCATTTGTTAGTTCATTCTTATGGATTTTTTTGTAAAATCTGTACAATGCTAAAACAATAAAATATAACTGAAAATCTGTAGTTTTGTATCAGAGTTGACTAATCTACCGTAATAATCTTGTCTTGTTTGCCTTTATCACTTTTTGATATCACAGTTGGTTTGACAATTAGAAATAAAAAGGAAGATCAAAATGAGGAAAGGAGATGACCAGTTTAAAATGCAATCAATTTTCTTCTGATTTTTTCAAAGCAAATCTCTTCAATTGTCTCGTGGGTTAATTCTAAAGAAAGGTTTTGAAAAAAGCAAACATTTTGAAACATAGCATTCCCGGAGGCATTTTAATTCTCTACTTCGTTTCCATTATGCCTGGTTTCCATTCCTCCAATATTCCGTTACTCCATTATTGTATGTCTCTGCTCTCTCTCTTTGTTCTTTTCTTATTTTCTTGAACACATTCCCCTGGGCCACTCTGTTTTGTTCAAAACGATAAAGTGGGTGTTTCCATTACTCCATATTTGTCCGTTATCATATCCTTAGCTTGAGCTCTTTTTGAAACTGAGATGGAATGACTCAGTTTTTGAATGCCTCTGTCTTCGCTGTTCCCAATAAAACAACGCTTATTCAAATGATTTCGTTCTCGATGACTCCACTTTAAGCAGCGTTTTTGAATAACTTCGGTTTGGTATCAAATGACACCATTTTTCGTTTTTGATCGTATTAATGAAACTCAAATTCAAAAGCAGATTCACTCGACTCTGTTCTCATACAGAAACAGAGTAATGGCAACAGAGCCTCTCCATTTTATTGATCGCATGTCAGCATGCCATCGCACGCCTAAACTTTTCAAGGCATGCGATTACCAGCGCGCCGCAAAGTTTCATATTATCAGGACTGGTGACATTGGGTTTAAAGAATTGTGAGAAATGTATATTGCTTATGTTATTGAGATATCCTAAAGGTATTGCCAATTTTTATAGATGATATGTAAGATGCTTAGCTGTAAAGTTTTTGATTGATGTTTCTTTGTCATTTCCAGCTCAAATATCAACACAGCATCAGAACCACCTGCAAAAAAGGCAAGACTTGACCCTAAAGGTATTTCCACCCAGGAATATTCGTACTAACAATATCATTTATTCCCAAGATTGTTTAAGTTACTGATTAATGGTTTTGTTTAAATTAACTTCTCTCAATGTGTTTTTCTCTTACTGGTATACTTTCACAAATTACTTGGGTTTGGTATGTACATAAAAGACTATTTTCAAGTCGCTCTCAAGTACAAGTGATCATATTTACTCCTTATATTTGAACATTTTGTCCTACCAAAACCTAGCAACCAGCTACCTTTTTGATAAATGTGATTTATATCTTTTAGTGTATGTTTTCTCAAATTCTGTAGAGAGACCTGAATCTACCTTCTAAGCCAACTTAAAGCCATGTTCCCACTTGTAGTTACATCAGAGCCAAGCCTATTCATTGTGTTGATTGATTATACAAAGTAAAACTTTATCATGTTGAGAAGAGGAGCATTTCTGATATTCATACATCTTGCTCTTTACCCCATAACTTTAAGACCTATCTGCTGGTATTTTAGATTCTTTCTATATCAATTAACAAATTTACTTTTGGTAATATGTTGCTGTTTTGGTATATTTATAGGCAAAACACCAAAGTCAAAAGGAAGTAAGCTGGCAGCTCCAAAGGCTGCAAGCACACCAGGTAAGATTGGATCTCAACCAATGCTTGATACTTTGTTGTCTGTGTGACGTCCGTTTTGTATAGAATGTTTATTATTTTACTCATTCTTTTCTTGCAACAAGATATGCCTTCCCCATACCTACATTTGATTAAACATTATTCAGCTGTTTTTATTCCACTTTACTATGTTTACTGTGATGCTGTCTTGGTATCATTTTGTCTTTTGAAAAGTCTTTCAATTCCATTTGATGCAACAATAACTGCAGCTGAAGAGCTTCATTGATCAGAATTTTATTCCTGCAAATGTCTTTTATTTCCCTGAACTCTTTTCATGCGGTCTATTGTCTATTCATGCAGTATCCAATCTGAGTTCTCTGTTTTGCTTCAAACCCAAAAGGCTAAAATATCTTGCTTTATTATAATCGATTTGATATTTCAAGACCAGTTCATTATCAACATCTTAGTGACATCTTTTTGGTTTTGACAGTATTTTGTTTCCTTTAATGAATAACCACACTCTAGCTTAAGTCTCATTAACCCCTGTGTTGTTTTAAATGACTACTATCTAGAGAATGTTAATAATCTTGCAACTTCTCCGTAAAGCTAGACTCTGCTCTCATTTTTGCAGCTGTCACTGTATCTAAGAAGATAAGTAAATCAAGCGACGATTCATCTTCTGATTCATCATCGGAAAGTGAAAATGAAGCAGCAAAAAGCAAAAGCAACACCAAAACGCCTAAGAAATTTACCAAAGTCGCCAAAAAGAAAGGATCCAGCTCAGATTCTTCAGAGGATAGCTCATCTGACAGTGATGAGGCTAAGAAAGAACAAAATAAGGTTCAAAAGACAAAATCCCCACAAAAATTACCTGCAAAAAAGGCAAAAAGCTCAAGTAGCAGTTCCTCGGACAGCTCTTCAGATGATGATGATGATAAGAAGGGAGCAAAATCAACTCCAGCTCCAAAAGTAGCTGCAAAAAAGGCAAAAAGTTCAAGCAGTAGCTCTTCTGACAGTTCCTCAAGTGACGATGACAAGAAGGCAGCCAAATCAACTCCAGCTCCAAAAGTAGCCGCAAAAAAGGCAAAAAGTTCAAGCAGTAGCTCTTCTGACAGTTCCTCAAGTGACGATGACAAGAAGGCAGCAAAATCAACTCCAGCCCCAAAAGTAGCTGTAAAAAAGGCAAAAAAGTCCAGTAGTAGCTCTTCTGACAGTTCTTCAAGTGACGATGACAAGAAGGCAGCAAAATCAACTCCAGCCCCAAAAGTAGCTGCTAAAAAGGCAAAAAAGTCCAGTAGTAGCTCTTCTGACAGTTCCTCAAGTGACGATGACAAGAAAGCAGCCAAATCAACTCCAGCTCCAAAAGTAGTTGCAAAAAAGGCAAAAAGTTCAAGCAGTAGCTCTTCTGACAGTTCCTCAAGTGATGATGACAAGAAGGCAGCAAAATCAACTCCAGCTCCAAAAGTAGTTGCAAAAAAGGCAAAAAGTTCAAGCAGTAGCTCTTCTGACAGTTCCTCGAGTGATGATGACAAGAAGGCAGCAAAATCAACTCCAGCCCCAAAAGTAGCTGCAAAAAAGGCAAAAAAGCCTAGTAGTAGCTCTTCTGACAGTTCCTCAAGTGACGATGACAAGAAAGCAGCCAAATCAACTCCAGCTCCAAAAGTAGTTGCAAAAAAGGCAAAAAGTTCAAGCAGTAGCTCTTCTGACAGTGCCTCAAGTGATGATGACAAAAAGGCAGCAAAATCGACTCCAGCTTCAAAAGTAGCTGCAAAAAAGGCAAAAATTTCAAGCAGTAGCTCTTCTGACAGTTCTTCAAGTGACGATGACAAGAAGGCAGCAAAATCAACTCCAGCCCCGAAAGTAGCTGCAAAAAAAGCAAAAAGTTCAAGCAGTAGCTCTTCTGACAGTTCCTCAAGTGACGATGACAAGAAGGCAGCAAAATCGACGCCAGCCCCAAAAGTAGCTGCAAAAAAGGCAAAAAAGTCCAGTAGTAGCTCTTCTGACAGTTCCTCAAGTGACGATGACAAGAAAGCAGCAAAATCAACTCCAGCCCCAAAAGTAGCTGCAAAAAAGGCAAAAAAGTCTAGTAGTAGCTCTTCTGACAGTTCCTTAAGTGACGATGACAAGAAGGCAGCCAAATCAACTCCAGCTCCAAAAGTAGTTGCAAAAAAGGCAAAAAGTTCAAGCAGTAGCTCTTCTGACAGTTCCTCAAGTGATGATGACAAGAAGGCAGCAAAATCAACTCCAGCTCCAAAAGTAGCTGCAAAAAAGGCAAAAAGTTCAAGCAGTAGCTCTTCTGACAGTTCCTCAAGTGATGATGACAAGAAGGCAGCAAAATCAACTCCAGCTCCAAAAGTAGCTGCAAAAAAGGCAAAAAGTTCAAGCAGTAGCTCTTCTGACAGTTCCTCAAGTGATGATGACAAGAAGGCAGCCAAATCAACTCCAGCTCCAAAAGTAGTTGCAAAAAAGGCAAAAAGTTCAAGCAGTAGCTCTTCTGACAGTTCTTCAAGTGACGATGACAAGAAGGCAGCAAAATCAACTCCAGCCCCGAAAGAAGGTGCAAAAAAGGCAAAAAGTTCAAGCAGTAGCTCTTCTGACAGTTCCTCAAGTGACGATGACAAGAAGGCAGCAAAATCAACTCCAGCCCCAAAAGTAGCTGCAAAAAAGGCAAAAAAGTCCAGTAGTAGCTCTTCTGACAGTTCCTCCAGCGATGAGGACAAAAAAGTGACAAAGTCAACTGCAACACCAAAAGTAGCTGCAAGAAAGGCAAAAAGTAGCAGTTCTTCGGATAGCTCTTCAAGTGACGAAGAGATGGCTCAAGTCAAGGAGACAACAGTGGCAAAGATTGTCCCTAAAAACGGTCCAGTGACGAAGGTTACCAGCAAAGATGATTCGTCGGACTCTTCTGAATCCGAAAGTAGCGAAGATGAATCCAAGAGCAAAAATAACAAGAAATCTATGGAAGTAGAAAAATCAGTCAACAAACTAGAAAATGCGAAGAAGGATTCGGATTCTTCTTCAGATTCTGACAGTTCAGACGAGGAAAATTCTAAGAAAGAGATTAAATCAACTCCGGTTTCAAGTAAAAAGCAGCAAGAATCGTCAGATTCCGAATCTAGGTATGATTAGCATTTAAGTTTCAGAAAAAGCTTGTGTTTTGCTGAAATTTTTTGCTTCTCTTTTACTTATTTGTTTAGAACTGAAGTAAGTCGTTGTGGTTGTACAGTCTTTTATGCGCCATCAATATTTTGTCATCTTTGATGCAATTTTTGTTAAGATTATGATTAAAGCCACAAAGCTATGAGATACCCAAGTACAGACTTAAGTTGTAATTTGGACCACATGACCTGGAAAATTCTAATGTAACTTTAAATCAGTTAAATGTGTTAGCGGTTGGTTGTTTTATGGCCATATAAGCAAAGGTTGTTTGCCTTGAAGTCTCTGTAATTTAATATTGGCTCTAAAGTCTATGGACCAAGCCTAAAAGCAATGATTTGGAACCAAAGTGGTACTTTGTTATCTAGGGGTCTTCTAGAGGTCACAAAAGCAACTTTGACTGTTTCTTAAGACTGGTTGCTGCTTGGTGCTCGCTTGAACAAGTTTGTCACCAAATTATTTTTGGTGGTTTGAGTGGTTTTTCTAGTTTGATCAAAGATAGTCTTCAGGTACAATGTTGACACTCTATGATTTTAATATTGTTATTTAGCTCATCAGAAGATGAAGAAGTAACAATAAAGAATAAAGTGCTGAATGGGAGTTACGCCCCGCAATCTGCCGGAAGCAAAAGAAAACATGAATCGACTTCTTCAGAATCTTCTTCTTCCGAATCTGAGGTTTGGGAACTTTTCTGATTTATATTAATTCTTATTGCTACATTTGATCACTATCTGGTGAAGCATATTCTCAAATGTCAATAATATATTCCCTTCATGGAGTCTCAAACAATTTTGTCAAACTTCCTGCCAAAAATCAAGAAAGCACAGTTCAGCTGCCTTGAAGTATTAATCATACCAACCAATGATTTAATTTCCGTCGCAGGAAATCTGGAAACAGTTCTTCGTTGTCTGTCTGCAACTTTTGTCCTTTTCTGTTTAATTATTAATTCTGTCCGTTGTGATCTTGCTGAGGCATTTTTCTGTATTTTGCTACCCTCTCAAAAATTGCCTGAAAACGCTGTCACCTTGATGCCATACTTGTTACTATAATAGATTGTAAAGGATGTTTGGTTTATGATAAAACATTCAATATCTTGCTTAACCCTCATTCAATGTCAAATTCTTATCAAGTAATCATCGACTTTCTGATTTCTGCCAGCCTATACTTTACTGTTTTTTTCATGTTCTAGGATACAAAGCCTATTAACAAGACAGGTGAAAATTATTTTGTTTATGTAAAAAGCGTCTTTGCTCTTTATTCTGCTTAAAAGTAACAATTTTCGTTAAAAGTGGAAGCAATGTAATAAAAAGTTCCGCTCTTCAGAATTGACCTGAAATTTTACAGCGATTTTGTGACTGACTGCCAATTTTAGAATTGCTTTTAAAAGGGATTTAAAAAGAAAAATACTTCTTAGCATATTAAACAAAATATGGTGCTTGCATTTCTTTCTGGTTTCATCGAAGTTGCCCATGTATTCTCGTAAACAATATGCATATAAATTAAACATAGACAAATGAAAATTTAATTTGAATGTTACCCAGGTGCTTGCGTTGATTTAAAACCACCTCGGATTAAGTAAGATGATGCAGCCTGTTGAGCTATGACAGATGCCTAATGTCACCTGGAAGCTCGGAGAAGAGAGTTAGGCCATCACAGTCTTATTGAACTATCCAGGCTGCTTAACAAGCAAAACAGTGCATCGTAAAATGTTTTTAAGGTTTATCAAAAAAGATGCACCTGTGAACAGTAAAACATGTGTAAGATTTCGTTTATGTTTAAGCCAAGGATTTGTACAGGATTTTCATTTGAGTTTATTTTAGATAAGGATTGATGTGATTGGCCAAATTAATAAATATTTATGTTATCTCTTTATGTATGTGTTCATTTTATCCACACAGTTGGTGCGATTACACCGGAAGTGAAGAAATCAGGTAAGGGACACTTTTCTGTTGCTCTATTGTGTTACAATGTCACTATTTGACCGATTTATCATCATGACACTTATTACATGAACGAAATTTTATTATTTCTTTGATCAAACCAGTAACGTTTTCAAACTCAGGGCCTGTCCTGAGAGTAAAGTAAGGAGCGATAAGATTAAATACCAAAACGGAAAAGGATTAAAACATGTGTCAGGAAACCCCAAAACGGAAAAGGATTAATCAGTCTATTTAATTTTGGTACTTAATTAATTTGCTTGATATATTATCACTATTAGGAAAAAGTACTACACGTAACGTACATAGAATGCAAGCAGCTGTGATCCTCGCTGGCTGTCGACACCACAGCTTTGCACAAAAAATATATGCGTAATGGTATACGCTGCTTCAATGCTTTCAAGGATGCCTCGTCAGACTTTGACCCTCCTGATCACATGAATCGTTATATTTTTGTAGCTTTCCACTAGGCAATTTTTATCATGCAAAAATTAATGACAAGAAAAGTGTAGATATAAAACTGTTTCTACGAGGGATATGAAAACAGTAAATTTGCTCCCTCGTTGGGTGCCATCATGAGACTCTTAACTTTCAAATTGTTTATATGTATAATTCTACTTTGAATTATATTCCACATTTCTATTTTTTTTGCTACCTTTACAGCAAATGCGTTCAACACTCCTTTGACGGCACCTGCTTTAGGTGGTAAAGATAAAAAGAAGGTTTGGTCTCTCTTTATATTTTACTACAATTCATTTAATCCTGCATTTAGCATGTGTTAGAATATGAAACCAACCAAAATTTACATTTTATGGAAACAGTATTAGAGGAATCAGTAAGTTGTGTGATTAAGAACCCGATCTTGCGATTAAATCTTGATTCAAATTTGTCAAAGCGTCATTAAATATATCTTGGTGACATGATTGTCATTTATTCATTTATAAGTTAAATGATCAAAAGACGGCAAAACCACCAATTTAGCCAATCTCATTTTCACCTGATTTATTTAACTCTGAAAAATTCTAAATTCGTTACATCTGTAACCAACCTATCTTTATTACGCTTCGAATATTTTTGTTCTCTTTGTTTCTTTATTTGGTTTTCAATTATACATCTAAAGTTGAAAGATATTTTATGTGAAATAACATATCTTTGTGTAGAAGCAAGTAAAAACAAATACGCCATTCAGACGTGTCGTTGATGAGGAGGTTGAGGTTCGCCGCGATTTGACAGACAACAGTTTTGAAGCGAGGGTAATCGATTCCTACACATTATTCTGTAATAGTTGATTTGTTGGAAAAAACCTTTGTGCTGAAGGCCTTAGATAAATAGTTTCTTACGTTCTATTTCCTTTTCTTTTAATCTCTACAGTTCATAGAAATTTAGACCTTTTCCTGCTGTTGAGTTGAGGCCAATGAATAAATTATTAATTGATAAACCAGGAATGATTGTTGGTTTTTGGAATACAGTTTCCGTAAAATGTTTCCTTGATGAAGAAATCGTATCTTTTCTATCCTGTTTTTAAAATAATTAAAAAAGACTTTATTGCTATAAACAGATTTGCTTAAATTTTCTATATCGTAATATTTTATTATATCTTAATTTTATATCTGATTTTATATTTATTTTTCTTGAAAATGACCTCTGTTCTCTCCTTTATCTCAGAGAGGAGCAACTGGGGACTGGGGAGAGAAAGCCAATCATGACTTAAGACATACGAAAGGTAGGCGTCTACTGCATTATATTGTGTCTTATCGTAGCGCATTGTATTGCATGTATTTTACTGTGTTTTGTTGTGTTGTGTTTTGTTGTGTTGTGTTGTGTTGTGTTGTGTTGTGTTTTGTTGTGTTGTGTTGTGTTGTATTGCATTGCATTGCATTGCATTGCATTACATTACATTACATTACATTACATTAAAATGTAGTACATCATTGCTTTGCTGTCTTTTTTCATTCTTTTCGTTTCTTTTTTTACAGGGAGATCTTTTAGGCACGAGAAAACGAAGAAAAAGCGCGGGAGCTATCGAGGGGGACTCATAAGTACTAGTATTAATTCAATTAAATTCGATAGTGATTAAATGCGTAACGATTTTACCGTTGGTTTTTACGATTTGGTTTACGTTTCGTATTTCTAGAAGGTTAAAAGACTGTAATAATTTTAGTATATCATCTTTTAGGCTGAACTTAACCAAAGGGCCTGTGTTCTACACAGGGGTGGACTGACATGTTCTTGGTCCTTCGGCCCATGTGCTGGCCGGGCCTCTAGAGGATAACAAAGGACTGGAAACAAATAGAGCTTGGCCAACTATAGCGCCCAGGCCCCGGTCCTCGTTGGGACCCGTCCGAATAGGGACACCAAACAAAAATCATGAAATAAATCAATGTCCTTAACTAATGCCAGTCGCTGGTTTCTTGTTGACCTGTACTTGCGAATTTTGGAATTCAGTTCATTAGTGACCTGATGCTAAAGGCCTTAAGAAGGACCGACTAGACAATAAACATTAAAGCCACAGGTTGATTTGAAACTTTGTTGTAAAAGGAATTTCAGATTGTTGCTCATAAAAAAAATGTTTTTGTTCCTGGGTTTAATGATGTGTTCAGGGGCATTTGTACAGTACTAATAAGGTTTGAAAGTTTTGTCACAAAACAGGTTCTGTGGATATCTTGTCATGAAGTTCCTGTTGTTTTACAGATTTCAGTTATGTTAATGTTCACGTTTTGCGTTGACTGGTAATCAATGTCGATTGTAATACTTAATGTAATCAATACATCTCATTACCCCCTCCCCCTACACCTCTTGTACCCTCCGAATGCCCCCAATCTCTAAAAAAGTTGATTTGAGATTAGTTTGATTAGTTCGACTACGAGTGGCTATTTTAAAATACTTTTTCTGTTTTCGTTCCTGGTTCAAGTCAGCAAGGCAACGAGGAACCACTAATATATAACTATTGCTTTGGAAGACATATATTATGTATGAAATTTTTAAGATATTTTAATTAGCCAGCTACTACAATTTCATTCAAGAGAACCTTTTTTCTTTGCAATTGATAGCAAATGATTCTTGTACGTGACATATTCTTAAGACTCTGAAATTTTGCTCGTAACTAAACATTTGTAATGATTGTAATCAAATGTCTTGTCATTTAATTGATAGAAAATCATACAAGGATGTTGTCTTTTTCCTTCTTACTCTAAAGGCCCAATTTATTTCACTGTTTTTCTATTTATTTCGGTATACTTATTGCTTGCTTTTAGCCATCCTCATTCAATAACTTCATTCATTCATTCATTAATTCCTATTAACAGCTCTTTGACATTCCTCATTTCGAAAATACGTCCTTCAAGCGGGAATAGATTCATGACGTCATCGATAAGACAGTTATATGTTCGATACGATCTTCTCTTCGATTCCAGTGTTTCCCAACTTAATGCGTTGATTAATGCTTTTTTCATTGATAGGACCCTTGAAATCTTTTATATTTCAAACCACACGTCTCAAACTAAACGTTCTTAATGTTCGTTCCTATTCTTCGCCAAAATTTACCACTCCAAGCAAATTTAAACTCAAAATTACACTAGATCATTATTGACCATTATTTCCTATTGAAAGGAAAAGGCAAAATAATCTAAGAATAATCCCATAACCAAGAATTCGCCATTGATCTTTAACTAAAAATAAATTGCATCATTCATGTTTTTAGTCATATTTGAGATGATCAATGCAAAGAGTAGCTCAAGAATTTAGGAACCTGGACTTTATATTTAAACCTATTATATTTTTCAGGGTAACTATCCACCGGACTATTTACACTCTTTTAAGCACAGGACAATTTTTTAAGAACACTAGCCTCAGAATTGATCAAATATTAAAATCAAATAAAGAACAAGCTGGGTAACTATAAAACATAAGAATCTTAGAACATTGTGACTCAACCTCGATTTTCTGCTTCTTATGAAAGGGAATGTATTGTCTTTAGATACCTCTGTTGCCAGGCATCACTGGCGTGGGTGTAGGAAATATATGTGGCTGGGGGCTGTAAACACCTAATCAAGAAAAAGTTATTGCATTTAGCCTCCATTCGGGTAGTTTTCATCCCAAAGAAAAAACCATATTCAGACATGATCCATACTAAGCCCCTCCCCCCTAAACTACCGTCTGCTAGGCCAATGCTCACTGATCAAGTTCATGGCCAAAGTACACCTAAAGAATCCAGTGTAAGGAGTTTGACCTTCCATTTTCAATGGCCACTAGGAAACAAGCTGGAAGAACAAGCTAATCCTTGAAGTTGTAGGTTTTTTGGGGAAGGGGGAGGGCGTTACTGTATTTGTAAGCAAACCTTTGCATAGGCTCAAAACCTGTTGGAAATCTTTTCATAGATGGCGTGTAATTGGGTGCGCTGTAAATAACACATTTGTAGTTTATACAAAATCACTTCGGGTTTCAACCGTTGCCCGATGATCGTATTAATCGAGAAAATCTGAGTTGCACCTTAGAACCTTCATGCTCTATACATCAAACCACATATCCAATATGCGATATGAGCATCGCAACTATTTGGGTCGTCGGCCTAAATTTGACACTTTAATAAGTCACCCGTAGTGATGAAGCTTTTATGAAGTTCCCTGTACATGATGTATTTCGAATTGATTCAAGAACTGCCTCAAAACAAAGAGCATTATTCCATCTATCTACAGCAGAATACAAACGGTGCAAATCCCGTCATGGACTTATAGCCAATGCATACAAGGATAAAGTTATTTCAAAATACATTTCAATCTACGGCCTAAAGTGATATAATTGAAATAAGCTGACAGTAACCAATCTTATATGTGGATGCAAAAGCGTTGTGCTACAATTTTTACAACCCTGAGATCTCTCAACGCATTTTTGATGTTTAAAACATCGAAAGTAAGGATTCAAATCATTTTTTAAAATGCTTATCAGTTTAAAAAAGGCGAAGTTTAGCTGCTTTGTAAATAGGGTGTTCAAAGTGTCAGCACTGTCTTGAAAACGCCAAGAAGCTAATTGAAAGGGCCAATCTGTCCTGGGTAAGTTTGTTATTGTGTCTTGACTCCCTTTGCATGTGTCTAAAAAACAATTTGGAACAATGTGTCTTGACTCCCTTTGCATGTGTCTAAAAAACAATTTAGAACAATGCGTCTTGACTCCCTTTGCATGTGTCTAAAAAACAATTTAGAACAATGCGTCTTGACTCCCTTTGCCCTGTATCGAATACTCAGGAGATTTGCAAGCAGGCGCAGAATCACTGCTTGCCATCTGAAACAACTGAGCACAAATCAATGGCGCCCGTGTCCCAAGACACTAGTCCCAGGGAAAAAAAGCATGAGATTGGGGTAGTATTTAAGCCACGAGCCTCTAGTTGTTCGGCCTTTGCTTCTCGAGGTTCGTTGGGAAAGGCAGCCCTGTAACACTTGGAAAAAGCAATGTATGTAAAAATCAACTCTAAATTCCCCTACTGTTAATTTTATGCAACTTTCTCATCATTTACAGCACCAAAATAATGTACTGTTTCATTTTTATTGGTTTTCATACCTAGGGACTGCCAGAAAGGAGAATTAAAGAAAGTTTCATCAACAGCGGGTTGAAATATTATTTAGGGCCTAAAGTGCATTAAGATTCAAATTCTATTTCCATTGAAAATTGTTCACCCTTGCCCTTACCCGCCAATATTCATAGCTAACAAGCCTGTTCTTTACTTACCGATTTCTCTATAATTTTTATTTTTTATGATGATAAAACATATATTCTGTTGAAGCTAAAAAACGCTCTATGTGATTATTTAATTGTTTAATTACGAAGTTTCTATCTTATCTACCCTAGGTTGCAAAAGTTGTCATATTTATCATGTTTAGGCCACAATAGTTATTATCCATTTTCCTTTTTTAATTAGTTTGCAATGTTGCTTCGAATTGTTGTATTATAAGAATTTAATACTTTATCCCTGAACAATGTTTTAATATTATATTGCTTAAAAGGTCTAACTCTGGGTACATCTCTTTTAGATTACCAAAATGGCCAACAGTTGTTGTCAGTAAAAATGATGCACTAAAGTTAATGTTTGAGAAAACTACAAAAAAGGTAAGCCTATCGTTTTTCTACTCAACAAATTTAGCTAATTTCGAAAGCTAGATCCATCGTTTCGCGAAAGTCAATTGCTTGATTTCCAATAGGAAATGGAAAGATAGATTTGAAAATGGTAGAACTCGATAATTTTTTAAAAATTCCATACTATCGATATTATAGAAGCTATTTCAGGCAAAAGGACTTCTTTTTTGTATCAAATCAATATTTGTTGTGGTAACATTGGATTGTTATAATCGAACTAGGTTTTAAGATAATTGTTTTTGAATTTAAGATATAGTTTTCGTTAATATCATATCATGAAGGCAAACGATTTGATTGTGCTGTGATAAATATTTTATTCAAACATTAATAAATATCTTAATACAATGTATGAATCAAAGGATGCCTTAAAATTAGTTGAATCCCAAAACTTCTTTTAATTTAGTTACAATAACAAATGTTCTAAATTTTCTAACATAAAGATAGGTAGTAGATTATAGATAAAATTATATTGTAATATTTTAGAGTATCATTTTCAAATGGGTGTTTATTTTTCAAAACTTTTTAAGAGAAATATGCAGCATCATTAGACGTTTCAAATCTAAAATGCATTTTTACGGTGTATTACTTTATTCGAATGCAAGATTTGAAAATTTTTAGAAAAAAAATCATATTTTCGAAACAAATCACGGACTTCAGAAATTTTGCAATTTTGTAATTTTTTGAGTCACTAGTTCTGTTAACGGTGGCAGTTGGGATGTTGGGGTTGGTTTATTTTGATATTAGGGCGCTGTTCTAGTTGTTGGTCATGGTTTGGTTGAGTTGCATTGGTTTAGACGTCGGCTAATGGTGAAGGGTGTGAAGGAATGGTGGATGTGGTTGGTCATCTCAAAACAGTCTAGTGATTCAAAGTTTACAAAAATCAAGAAAAATCTAAAAATGCCTTTCTGGATATACCTTCCGTTTTTTCTCTACCAACAATCGTATTTCAGTCGATCTAAAAAATTTTCTTGATATAAACATGAAAATTCTATTATCTTCTATTCAAAATTTAACACTTTGCATTATATAAAGTACTGAAAAAATTCCTATTTTCCTTCCAAGATCATGCTTTTGCTCAAATACACCTCGTTAGGCTAATATGAACCTGATCCACGGACGAACATCTTTAAGTAAATGTTTATGTTAAATGTTTAAGTAAGTTGATTTTAATTTGAAAAATCTAGTTTATTGTCTCTACTAAATGGTCCTGCTGGCATTTTTTCCAAATTTCTTTGTCGTTCTCCAGCAAAATATTAATGCAACTGCTTATTTTTTATTATTTTTTTGACAACACTACCCTCACAATTTTATCCACACCAAATTTTTACTGAATTTTTAACTAACTGTATCCTTTAATGACATCATTAAAAAGATTAAAAGGAAAGTTAATTTTTACTCGTTATTTTTGAGTTTAGACTTGTGCTTTGGCCTGCAAACTATGATCAAAACAGAATTAATTAACTCTTCGAGCGCCGTTCTACAATTCATAATTGCATGTAAAAAATGGAAAAATGCTTTATAGTTGTGAAAAGTAAAAGCAAATCATGGTGGCATTGGAAAAGATAAATTTTATATTAAACTGTCATGGATGTGCATGTCATGTTTACAGCAACGTTTCTAAGTACTATGATAGCCATCCAAACAACTATGGTTTTATGAGAAACAGAATATTTATTGATCAAAAGGCAATTCCTTTTACGGCAACTCTAAATGAACAATTATTGTACCCTTGTTTCAGAATATGATATATATATATGTATATATGAATATATGTTCAAGACAAACTTTATCGCATTTCTTAGGCCTCCTTAGTTTAAAATATTTTTAGATGATTTTCAGCTATACTGGATATTTTTTCACATTTTAATCGGAATCAACTAATTATGAACAACGTCAACTTCAGAAGAAACTTTCATTGAAATTTTGTGAAAGTCTAAATTGAGATATCTACCCCATTTGACTTGTTCTTTATTTTTTTTCTAGGTTTGGTCGCCGAAAGTTTTTCTTTTGTGACAGCTTTTGTTTCCAAGAGGATTTCTGGGCCGAGTTTTAAAGCTTTTTTAACCTAATTTGTCTTCAGTTCTTCCCTTTAGGAAAAGAACCTTTTGGAATGGTTGATTTGAAAACATGGTGAGTTTTTTAATGCCAAGTTCAACTTGCTACCCTTGTGGCAGGCGTTTCAAGGCCGTTTAATGTTCTATTCTCTACTTATTACGTTACAAAAGTAACAAGCCTAATGAGCATATCAAAACAAGTCTTTTATAGCCTGTAGTAAATATCCTGAGAAGAAAAAACTCAATACTGCAATTCCTTCAGTTCTAGTTTACCAATGATTAATCCAAACGGAGTAAAATATCCATTTGTACACAACCAAAGTTCAATCAACCTGATTTTTATAATATAAACAAAACATTTCTTTACCATGTTATATTTGCTGTTGTTTTTTACTGTCTTGTATTATTTCACACTTTAGATAATTTATTGTCTCTTTAAAATTCTTTCTAGCTTTGCATTTGAGTACAGTGATGGTCCATGAGATTGAAAACTACTGTTGTTCAGTGGGTGAGTGGATATCAAATTTTAACATTTTTGTCAGTTATCGATTTAAGTTTTTTTTGCTTTAAACAATTAAAGTCAGCATAATATATCTTGAACCTAGAAATGTCTGGAAAAAATTCAAAAAATAGATTCATCCGGTTGCTGAAGTTTTAATTTAGAAAGGTTTGAAAATGTTTTGAAAAAATCCCTGTCATTAATTTATCAAAACATTTATCAAATTTCGAAAAAACATTCTAATACAAGAAATTTATATTCATTTAGGAAGAATTGTCATTTTGCTTTCATCAAGGATATGACATTATATACAATTGATAATCTTTATATTACCAAAATTTACTCGTTATATTTTTTAACACTAACTTTTTTGCATTTCTAGGTAACTATTGCAGCAAAGTTTGCATCCATAAAATCATAAAATGTTGGTCCGTTTGAACAGATTTAAAGGTAATTCTTTACCAAATAGTAGTTAATACTCTTTATAATTATGTTTGCTTTTTTCCAAAATCTTATTTAATACGTTGTTTTTTTTGGTTTTCAGGTTTAATTGACATATATGAAACATTTTGGAGAGTTTTGCGATGTTTTTTGTATCCTTGGCTCTTGGGCATTCATATTATTTTCTTGCAAAACTTAAAATTTTCGATGAAAGGTTTCTCAGATTGTTCTAGCAGCTTCCAGTGAAAATTCAAGATTAGAAAGAAAGTAAGTAAATTATAACATATTTTTTTTGCTGATTTTTTCTGCGAAAATTAAAAGATAGCCATGATAATAGGATGGATTATTGTTCACCTTCTGGGCGTTATTATGAACTTAAATATTTATATACTTTGTGCTTTTCATAACGATCAGCATTATTTTTACACAATTCTTATTTTTAGCCATTTCAATTCTAGCCTTAGACACTCAGAGGCAAAGCAGATTGATTTAAGAATGAAATAGAACTGCAATTTTTTGGTATATTCTTTTCCATTCGTTAATAACAATTATTATGAATTATTCAGTTTACAAACATCTTTCTCCTTGGCGATTATATTCTTCAAACATTGGCTTGACAATTGGAAGTTGGTTTGAAGGCGAGATGGTGAAAGACTATATTATCTTACTCGTTGAAGAAGATGCTTATAAAGATTATTTTGTTTGCATGTTTTTTGTCATTTTTGTCTGCCCTTTTGTCATTTAATTATGGATATTGAGGGACATTGAAACGAGAGACATGAAAAAGGTCTGAGGCTGATTTTGGAGCTATGCTAATACCTTCTGGTGAATTGCTGAGTGCTGAGTTTGGAAATGAGTATCATTTGACTTCTTGTATATCATATGTTTCTAAAAATTAATCTTTGACAACTGTACAGTCATATATTATATCATTAAAATTTCTCTCGTGGTGATTCAAAGGTTAAATAATGTCTTTTGCATTTTTTACCATTTTTAGGGATCCAATATACTTCGAAATAAATTTTTGTTGAATTAAAAATTTACTTTGTTTCATCATTTTTCTTCACAACAACGAAATAAACATAATTATGAAGCTTTAAAATGGCTTTTTTATACATATAGGTATCATATTTTCAAGTTAAATTTCGATAATATTTGGAAGATCTTTTTTAATTTTTAGGCACATTTTTACAATGTTGAGCTTTTCGTTTCTTCACTGGAGACTGTCTTGGGTTCTTTTTCGTTCTTTCTCACAAGAAATTTTTGATTTGATGTTTTAACTAACCTTTCCCAAGCTATTTATTTAGGAAGAAGTCTTAACGGATTTCGTGATTTCAAAATTTGGTAAGTTTTCCAATTCTTAAATAAAACTAACTTCAAATTTTAGTACATTCTGACCTCTATTTTGTTTAATGAGATTATTTTTAAAAACTTTTATATTAATTGAGAATTGTTGAATATCTAATGGGCTGTGATTATTATTTCTTTTACAAGAGCATCCAAGTTCCAATCTTTTTATGGTCATAAATGTAGCCAGCTTCACTAGAAGCTTCACTAGTGACATTTGTTGACGCAAATCAAAGCTAATAGTTTCTGGTAAATGGGTATGTTTTTAATCCATAATTTTTTTATTTAAACTTTCCTGAGATTTACGTGTTAGATGCTTTGTTAAATTGGGAGATCTTTGTTTTCAACTTTTTTATTTATTTTGTCAGACTTAAAGAAAACAATAGTATTGGAAGAAATTTGTGAGTGTTTTTAAAGAAGAAAATCTAGTAAACAAATGTGGCTTTTTTAATAAACTTACTAGTTGAAAAAAATAACACGCTATTCAATCTGTCTTTAAAAACTTGGATTAAATCATGCTTAAATTGGTATACCTTCTTAAAATCATTAGAATCACTCTAAACCTCGATGACAAACCATAATGCTGATCCAGTCAATGATATTATCGTTTGTGATTTTCTCAGAAAAGATTTTCTTTTAAACTGACACTGTTTTCTTTTCCTTTCTAGGTATGGTGTTTTAATTTTTGCATTTTTGCAGTTTTTGCGAAGGTTTTTCAATGGCCAGTTTTCTATTTTTCTCCTAAAAACAAATTGCTTTTTAGATATCTTCATTTCTTCGTTGCAGACTTAAATCAAGATGCGCTAAATGTGAGTTGAAGTTTCAATATTTTGATGCCTTTGCATTAATTCATTGGGAAAAATGTATTTTTCACTAAAAAATATTATATATTCCAAACTCAAGCTGTTTTAAAGGTTTTGCCTTGATAAAGAAAATAAGAAATAAATAAGGGTGAGAATTATTGCAACTATTATCTATTCTTCTTGATAATGATATGTTTATTTCGAAGCTTATTTTTTGGTTTTTGGGAGACATAAAAATGAGCGACATAAAAATGGTATGTGGCTAATGCATAACTATGCCACTAGCCTTAAATTAATGAACGTGATTTGAATTTAGAATTTGCGTTTGATAGCCTTCTTTTATCCCAGGCTTGCCTCTGATGGAAATTAAAGAATTTTTCTTGTGTTCTTTGACAAGTTATTGACAACAATTCCTAAAGAAGTTCTTGCGAGAAGAAATATATTTGAAGACTGATTTTTACAAAAAAAATTAATCAAAATTAAAACCTAGCAAAAAACTACCAATAACCACTTTAAATTCTTTACTTTGCCATTACTCGAGAATTTAATTTCTTTTTTGATATAAATTATTCTTTCCGGTTGCAAGTTTTTCTAAAGATTACAGGAATTTATTTTAATATCTAAAATATATTATTTTTCAAGATTCGTGCATCTTATGACTTTCAAGTATGCTTTTACAATGCTCAACTTTAATTTTAGCTTTTGGCCACTCAGAATTCTATTCGTGAAAACATATTGAAAATGGTGAGTTTATTTTGCTGTCCAGTCGTATCACAATTTCTTTCTCTACATTTTTCAAAATCAGATAAGCTAATGCTAATGATTTCAAATATATTTGCTAGTTGGTTGACTCTCGGATTATGATTATTATTATGGCACTGGCAATGTATCATGGAATGTAATTGTTTAGAATATATTAAATTGTTTGCATTATACACAGAGAACAAGAAAATAATTTAAGAAAAAAGTATTTCTGAAATTCATATTTAACATGTGTGTCGCATTTAAATCAAACGTTAGCATCATCTTGAAGCTGAGCTATCCGTTGCAGAAAATATTTTTTTAATTCAAATGTAAGAAGTTTTTAAATTTTCTTTAGAAAACTGAATACTGAGTTATGGTCACATTTTGGCAACGTTGAGAAAGAATGTGGCACATAAATAACGGTGAGCTAATTTCAAAGATTTCTTTGGTTTAAAAGAACTGCAAATTTAGATGAATTTCTCATTTTCAAAATTTCTTTTCTTAAGTGTCTAAAATGTTCAGGCTGTGAACAGAGCAATGTGGTATTAAGATCCAAGCCTATATGTAGAAACACAGTCGAAAAATAAGATAGATGGTTGAAGAATCTTTTAACGAACTTTTCAGCTTTCTAAAAGCAATACAGCCTTCAAGATATCAAGATATGAATCTAGGCATTTGCATGAGGAGATTAAGTTTGTTTGGGCATTTAGATCATCTCTGGCCGCTCTTCTGATTAAGAGAGACAATCAAAGTTGTGAAAATTTCAACTTTTTCAAAAAGAGTAAACCAATCAAAGGCTTTAAGCAGCAACAAAAATAAAAAAGGTTCAATTTTTTCATTTGGAGACATCAAGCAAAAGAAAAAATAAAACGTGACATTTTGATTCATCGTGGATTCTAAAAGTAGCTACAAAAAATCCAGCCAGTTTCAATCTTGCAGCTTCATAGACCTTTGCTTTCACTTGCCAAAATGTTTCGATGTTTAGATCTGTGGTCTTGAGGTTTTGCTGTTGGTTTGAGGGGGTGGTTGATTTGTTGGTTGGTTTGGTTTTGAGTTTGTTGTTTTGAAGGGAGGAGATTTTGTCGAGTAAGTGGATGGCTGTGAAAGTAAAGGTCGATGTCGACTGCAAAAAGTCTTTTATTATTCAAAAATCTCAAAAACCGATCTTGAATATTTACTTGTCTCCCTTAAAAAACAAAAAGGTTTTAAAACAGTAAAGAGACTTTTGTTTATATTGCCTTTTTGTAAAAAAAAATTGAAATTTGCAGAAATAAATACTTTAAAAAATATTTTCCCTCTCCAAAACATAAAGGAGCAGGTATAAGGGTGAAGTAATTTAGAAATCTATTTGACTCCATAAAACAATCGAGAGCGAAGGCAAATGATATGACAAGTATACTTTCTGAAATAAAAGCATCGAAATTGCAATGTTGAACAAAGTCTTTCTAAGCTAATACGCGAGTACAGCTTTAAGGAGAGGCGTTTTTCACTTAAACTTTTTTCAATCAGACCAAAAGTACTCAGAATTGGAAATTGTGATGTGTTTTTGTTTTTCTACTGCCTCTAGATTATTGTAGCTTTTCAAAGGTTTGAGAATTCCCAAGAGAATTTCCAGGGCACTCTACACGAGGCACGCGCATGTGTCTTATTTGGATTGTACACAACAATAGGAGATTCTAATCATGAGAATAAACAACACTGTCATTTTGAACTAGACCAGATCTTCAGGATTATCGAAAAATTGATAATCTTTAGGATAATTCTCGGTTTGAGAGATTAGAGCAATACATATATATCCGAATCATATATCAGAATTGCACCTAAATTATCTGACTGCAAAAAGAAACGAAAAAAAAACACAACTCGATAGTTTTTAAAGGGGCCTAGATGCTCAAGGGTAGAAGTTGACTTGCATGGATACGAAGGGTCTCTTGTGCACTAGCAAAGAAAAGAAGCACGAAGTTTCTTTTACCTTCTTTCAAAACCATTGCATGTTCAATTTGAAAGGACAGTAAAGCTTGGTTTGTTCTGTCGCTGAATCTTTTAAAATCATCGAAGTTGTTCCTTGACTTAATCTTTAACTTCGATGGAAAATTCTATTTTCACTTCTTGGACATTGATGATATTGTTTTGCAAAGATGTCACATTTAACAACTGCTGCAGTTGATCATTTATTGCGATATTGCTGGCTTCTCTATCATTCTTTCAGATGATCGGTTTGGAAGGAGTCGATCGCATGGAACAAAGCAGAAGTTGAAGTAGAAGATATGAAGATTATGAACAATTTTTAGAGATTGAACTTGAAATCACAAAATATTATGGTAGATCGCCGCTTATTCTCGACCGGTATTTTATCCCAACATTTATTAGTTTTGAAATCAGGTTCCCTTTTTGAGAGAAATAGAACATTTTTAGACTCCCATTTGTTGCGAGCGATAGGACAGTTTTTATACGTTTATCGTCAAGGCAAATTACATAATATGAAACTATAGATTGCTAGTGAAAAAGGATAAGTAATTTCCTGAGTGATTGATCCCTAAGATATTTTTTCACCACCCGATAAGGTACGTTAATAGCAAACCATAATTTAATCCATCAATTTCATTTACCCTAGTTAATTTCTCCTTATATCCCCCTCCATATCTGAAAACCCCTTTGATGTTTCATCCCGAGTATTATACATTAACATATAAAGACATTTGATAGCCAAGCATACGACCTTTGCCCATATTCATTTGTTTATTGCCCAATTAGGAAGTTCCCCTTTTTTTGAGAAGGTATCCGGTTGAGTTATCTATCGTCTTAATATTGTAAAACATGCATGGGTTTATTCTACGAATGGGTGTAAGCATGGCGCCTGTTTACATTTGTTTTTAGAATAGGCCCTTTCGTTTTTACTTAGATTTGTTTGTAATTGTAGCTTAATTTTGTGTAAGTAGTTTGTAGCTTGCTTAGGAGACTGTTTTCGGTGTTGCGTTAGGGGTTATGGCACGGCGATTTAATCGGAGAGTTAGCGAGGGGGCCTTGTCCTTCTTGCTAACCCTTTGATTAAAACGCCATGCTAA